ATGGTACGACAATGTTTCGAGTGAAGAAGAATTACAAGACACCATTGAGGACCTCATCACTCGAAACATTGTCGTACCATTGAGTCCATGCGCAGTCCCGGTCTTATTGATGCCAAAGAAAGATAGAAGTTAGCAGATGTGTGTGGACAGTAGAGCCATTAACAAGATTACCATTCGCTATCGGTTCTCAGTTCCTCAACTAGACGACATGTTAGATCAGTTGGTTCTCGAAGTTCGACTTGAGGAGTGGATATCATCAGATCCAAATCAGACTAGGCGATGAGTGGAAGACTACATTCAAGAGTAGTGAAGGCCTCTATGAATGGTTGGTGATGCCTTTTGGGTTGTCGAACGCTCCAAGTACATTTATGCGTTTGATGAACCAAATTCTGAAGCCTTTCTTGGGGAGATTTGTAGTCGTCTACTTTGATAACATCCTCATCTATAGCTGAGATGAACAGCAGCATATGTTGCATCTCCGAGAAGTCTTCCAAGTGCTAAAGGAGAATGAACTTTATATCAACCTTAAGAAGTGTGTGTTTTTGATGACTCAACTTGAATTCTTGGGATTCGTGGTAAGCTCGCAGGGGATCCAGGTCGACAAAGACAAAGTCAAGGCAATCAAGGACTGGCCAACTCTAAGAAGTGTTACTGTAGTAAGAAGTTTTCATGGGCTAGTATCTTTTTATCGGTATTTCATTCGCAATTTCAGTTCTATAGTTTCCCCCATGACGGATTTTTTAAAGAAGAAGGGTGTTTTCGAGTGGACCGATGAAGCAAACGTATCTTTTGACTTTATCAAGGAGAAGATCACCACTACACCTATCCTAACGTTTTCGAATTTTGACAAGCTCCTTGAGTTTGAGTGTGACGCATGTGGTGTTGGTATTAGAGAAGTCCTCTCTCAAGAGAAGTGTCCCATTGCTTTCTTGAGTAAGAAGTTGAATGAAGCCCGGCAGAAGTGGAGTACTTACGAGCAGGAGTTGTATGTCATTTTCTGTTCTTTGAAGACTTGGGAGAGTTACCTCATTGCTAACGACTTCGTGATCTACTCCAATCATTAGTCTCTTCAACACTTCAAGAATCAGAAACATATCAACAAAATGCATGGACGTTGGGTTTCATACTTTGAGCAGTTCAATTTCACTTTGCGACATAAGTTAGGAGTCAACAATATGGTGCCCTATGCTTTGAGTCGGTGGGTATCTTTGTTGAGCATATTACAATGAGAAGTTGTTGCTTTTGAGAGGTTAAAGGAGCTTTATATTGATGATGAAGACTTTCGGGAGGTTTGGGCAAAATGTTTGACAAGACAACCCACCAAAGACTTTGTTGTTATGGACGACTTTCTATTTACAGGAAATCAGCTTTGTATCCCAATGACGTCATTGTTCAAAAAGATAGTTCGAGACTTACATGGTGACGGGCTTGGTGGACTCTTTGGTCGAGACAATATTGTTTTGAGTCTTGAGGAGAGATATTATTGGCTAAGCTTGAGGAAAGACGTGGCAACACTTGTGAGGAGTTGTTAAGTATGCCAAGTTGTAAAGGGGCAAGTACAGAATACTGGTTTGTATACTCCTCTACCTATGCCAAGGATATATGGGAATATTTGAGTATGGACTTTGTGTTAGGACTTTCCCGGACACAAAGAGACGTGGATTCAGTCTTTGTGATAGTGGATCGCTTTTATAAGATGGCTCACTTTATTCCATGCTGCAAGACTTCGGATGCACCACATGTTGCACGCCTGTTCTTACAAGAGGTGGTTCGGCTACATGGTATTCCTAGTTCGATTATTTCGGATAGGGATACTAGGTTCTTGGTGACTTTTTGGACTATTTTATGGCGACGATTCGACTCTTCATTGAAGTATTCTAGTACAGCACATCCTCAAATGGGTGGACAAACCGAAGTGGTCAATCGGACTTTGGGAAACTTGATTTGATGCATATGTGGAGAGAAGCCAAAGATGTGGGATCAAACTATACCTCAAGCTGAATTCACCTACAACCTAACTGTTCATAGTTCTACCGGTATGTCTCCTTTTTCCATTAGGGTTTTTTTCTTTAATTTTTGTGGCATCCTAGATGGAATTTCCGTCTAGGATGCATCCTGGAAAATTTTCGTCTAGGATGACTAGAAAATTTTTATAAAAATTATCATTTCATCTAGTTTGGCAATCTAGACGGAAGTTTCCATTTAGATTGCTTCAAACTAGACGGAACAAGCTAGATGAAAGTTTTTCCGTCTAGTTTGCCTCAAACTAGATAAAAAATAATTTTGCATAGTTTGCTCCGTCTAATTTGCTCATTTTTCTACTAGTGAATGAATTTAAGGTAATAATTAGGAGTACTAATTGGTTGGATTTGTTCAATTAGGGTTATTAAATTAAGAATAGGCTAACTAAAGTTTAATTAGTACAACTATATATGAGATTAGGGTAAGAAAAAGGATAAAGTTACTTTAATTAGGGTTCTATACATAGGGTAATGTGATTAGAGTTACTATTAGGATCGTATTTGGTAGATTAATTTAATTGAGTTATTAAAGTTAGGATTGAAGTAGATTATTGAGATATTAAAGTTTGGATTAAAGTTATTAAAGTTAAATTAATTAATTAGAGATAGAAAAATGCTAAATTTTTTGTTAAAGTTAGTTGAATTAGGGTTATACACTTGGGTAGATAAGTTTAATTGGTTAAAGTAGATTATTAGTTATTAAAGTTAGGATTAAAGTTATTAATTTTAATTAATTAATTAGAGATAGAAAAATGATAAATTTCTGGTTAAAGTTAGTTGAATTAGGGTTATACACTTGGGTCGATAAGTTTAATTGGTTAGATTTGATGAGAACTAAAGTTAAGTTAGGGTTACCAAATTAACTTTAAGTAAGCTTAATTCGGGTTATATGCTTAAGATAATGCTATTAGGGTTATGATGATGATCAATTTGGGTAGATCATTTAAATTAGGGTTAGATTAGATTATTTAGTTTCAAACAGGAGCAAATCATAGCCCATAAAAGTGTAATAAACATTAAAAACTAGTAAAAGATAATACCTTGAGAAGATCGGGGCGACTAATTCACGACGGCGACGGCGAGGCAACTGAGCCACGGCGGCGGCGGGCG